CCGAGTACGTCCTCTGTCTTATTCTGATGTTCTCTTCCTGCTTCTTGATAATCGCTCCGCTTGAAATAGGAATCCACTATTTCATCGTCTGTTTCGTCTCCTGTCCAGTCAATAGTATCTGGTAGTCCTGTAGGGGCTTGCTTGTCGTTTCCGTAGCCAAGCCAAATGAAGACTTCCTCCGCAGAACCGTATATCTCACCCATAAGCTGTACTTGTTGGGATCGCTCATCGAGGTCCAACTGGTTGATGCAGGCTGCATCAGCAAAAATAATCAACGCCTCGTCTGCCTTTCGCAATCGTCGGAGCCCGTTGTGCAGGTTTTGCGTTATCTCTAGCGGCTCTCCATCGATGGTGATTGGCAGTGTGATCGTTGGGTTGCCCCAAACATATGAGATAGCATAGAACTTCGGTTTGACGTTGAGTGAGACGGTCTGCAGGTGGCATCTGATATCGTCGTTCCAGGCACCTGGATGAACGTGGAGGAGGCGAATCTGTTTTCGCGAGGCATCGAGCCAAGAATACATCGTCAGATGCAGCGCTTCCTGGCACTACGCTGAATGGCATGTTGGGAAGAGGGAGCCGGGATCTGAGTTCCTCTTCCTACTTCAGCTGGTGCGGCTGCCTACGAACTGCACGTGGGTAAGCTGAAAGCGGACAAGCGAACCAATCACCCAAAATGCCGCCTGAGAGGCTGTAGCTGAGATCTGGCCCAATCACAACATGATGATGACACCTATCGAAGACGAAGAGATGCATTATAGCAGAACAAGGTATATAATTTCATAAGCATCATAACCATCATCGTTATATAGCCGCGTGGCCAGCATCATCATGTGATCTTCTTTCATACATCTTTCATCTTTGGCTCAATCATCAGACAAAACAGGCGAGTGCCAAAGGAAAACATCAAGGAAAAGGTCATCATCGTAATATATGAGAGCAATTTCGTGAGCGCGAAAATGAAGAAGCCAACCCAGGATCAAGGGAAAGGTGGTTGCCGATCCGAAAAGCAATAAGAGGAATAGGTTTTTCGCTAAAAACGCTTCAATGCCGTCGCTATGCAGCCCCGCTGGGGAGGAAGAGCAAGATCAGGGTAAGGAAAATGGGCGTGGGTATGGTGGTCGTTACATAGCCCAGCTCGTTTCGATGGGGTAGGAACAAGGCGTCCGGGCCCGATAAGATATCACCGCAGTACTGGATAAGGATAAGCTCGTAGCAAGGCCGTAAGGGATGCAGAGTCGTAGAAATCGTGGTATCGCTGAGCTCGAGCTCTTCAAGTCTTTTGGTTCGATGCGGTCGTCGTAAGGTTTTGGTTTCGTTGTTGCTTGGTGTGGATCCCGTCGAGGGAAGCGAAGTCTATCGATATCTTACACCCTGTATCCCGCCTCTTGGAGACATCCTGAGCATCTCTCGTAAGCACGGACATATCCACGACCGCAGTAGCATGCCGAGGTAGTTGATGGCGCGACAGAAGCCTTGCTGGGTCGTCGTCCTCCTGCCGCGGCTGCCTGTGCAGCATCGAGACCACAGTCGGAGCTCCTTGGGCTGGTGCCGCCACTGGTGGTACTGGAGCTGTCGTAGTCGTTGGATGAGGAAGTATTGCGTCGGCCCGCTCCTATGGGTGTTGGCAGTCCTTGTGCGCCCTGGCCGGGCCGTTGTCCTGGGTACATTCCATCGTTTACCGAGAAGTTGCGGCAGATCATGTAGGCTCGGGTGGCGGCGGCATTCTTGGCTAGCTCTTCGCTTTCGTATTCAACATCCGTGGAGTACTCTCGGTTGTTTACTCTGACTGTTGATCCGTAACCGTAGCGTGTTCGGTAGGTTTGGAAAAGTGGGTCAGGCCAGTGGCGCCTTTGGCAAAGACCTATATCCGAGGGTCAGCAACCAGTACACACACATTGAATCTGCTATCGTGCTGCAAAGTCTTGGACATGGTCTTCCACCCCGTTGTGTGGATCCCCTACACTAGACAGGGCTATCACCCATGAGTCTTGCACCAATTGCCATGTCGTCAAGACCTCATTTGGCTCAACTAGATCCGGCTATGTGGTACCAACTGTCTAAAAAGAAAAGGAACAGTTCTAGCACTAACCTGTAAGGTACATAACGTAGAACATGTTGGAGGTGGTCGAAAAGGATTATTGACGTGTAATGGAGCGATTGGAACGACTGATGGCGCTTCGATGGTGAGCTGTCAGTCTGAGGGCAAGACTACTGCTGCGGAGTATTGCTGAACTGGCAAGCGTTCGTTGGTGGCGACGATAGTAGGCCGAGAAGGTATCCGTGGCAGTGGTTGTACGACAGTAAATGCTTTTAGGGTGTGGGTGACAGTTGCCAATAAAGCATTGACAGCTGTACAAAAGAGATGAAAAGCGTTGATGTATGAAGAGCAAGGTAGAGGGAGCGGCTTGCAGTCAGTCGGACGGGGATGGGGGAAGCATATGTGCCTACTGTGGGATGGAGGAATATATTGCAGCAGGCGAGTGTAGCATGTATCCAAGCGCGTCTCGCCCACCAGTAAAAACGGAGGGGCAATTGGGCTTGTGGAAATGGATAATCTGCGGGTCTTGTTGCGGCTCTGAATGAGGGAGACCCATAGTATGTGCTGGCGAGAAGGTAGCCAACGGTAGAGGTTCCAGAATTTTAGCTAGTAAGAGACTCAAACCTCAAAAGGTACAGCCTGACCGGTTCGCTCTTGCCACCGTGCTGCACGCAGTAGCGCAGTGAAAAAACGGCTGGCGATCGGACACAATTGCTGTAACCCGTTTTCCCAAGGCTGGACATGTCTCGATCGGCATTGTGCAGGTTTAGACGCCTAGGATGGGCGCATAAACAACGAGGTGGCAGACGTGCATCCTAACAGCACTCTTTGCTCGTATCTCCCGGATGCACTGGGCCCACTAATGCAATATGCAAAGTGAGGGGAGAACGCAAATACGTCAGACTCTGCACCCTTTGTCAAGTGTACCGATACCCTGAAATCTTGGCAACAGAATGCGTGATATCGGCGTATGGTTTGGGAGGCAGGGTCTGAAAGGAATCAGAGACCAGACCAGACGTGCAGCAAAAAAATGGGACTGCTAATCGGCTAGGGTACCAACCGCCAGAGTCGCGACTGGAGAGGAGTTGGACACGATTGTGTGACTGCAAGACAATGCAAAGCATAGTGGCTCGAAGCGAGAACGCGTCACAACAGGCATAGCATGGAGCTACCCGACAGCCCCAGGGGCGAGCGAGACGAGTTGATTGATGCGTTCGAGGGTTCGAGGAGATACCTGGGGTTGGTGTTACCAGAAAGCATCAAGCGTCACTGCCAACGCATACATGCAGAAAGCACGGTCCTCTGAATATCGCTACTGGGAAACGCGCCTGCAGCTCGAATAGGGAAAGGGTCAACGGCTGTTAGCTGTAAGCCGTGTGCATGCAGGCATAAATTGGCATTGCGGAGACTGTCTGATGGCGCTCAAGCACGTTCGCGAGACGTAGTGGAGTACGGTTTGACAGGCGATGATTGACGAGGAGAGGACAGCTGGAGGGGCCAGGCGTTCTCGCGCACGCGATCCCGGTCAATCGAGAGAGACAGAGATGAAGAGTTCACAGACCCTGGGATCCCCATGTTCAAGGCTGGTGGTAGGGCATCAAGCAGTCCCCACTTTGCCGAAGTCAAGACATTGAAGATAGCAGGATGCCAAGCTCAGCACGAACGGGTCTGGAGCTTTGGGTGGAAATTTTCGAATCGACACAAAGGGATCATGCGTCGGGCGGCTGCAGAGCGTACTCGACAATTGACCTGCCGCGAAGTGGATAGCAGCAGTACAAAGGTTGAGGGTGCACAGAGCAAGTCGTCGTGGAGCGGAAGCAAAATTCGGACGATTCGATAGGCCGGCGCGGTTCACGACAGGCAGCGGTGCATGGCTAGGTCCCAGGTCCCAGTAAGGACCGCTTCTGTCTGGCGCCGATCCAAGATGGTGGTTGATACATGGAGCGGGACGATGGCGCTTGTGAATAGCGGCAACGAAGCGCAAGGAACAGCCACTGATATATTGGACAAAGAATAGCGTTTGAAGTCCAGACGAGCGCGGCCAAGGCCAGCAGAATCAGCGCGGAGATGAGTGAACGAGCTTCAGAACTATGTCGCACGCGCGGGAGATCTGTGGATGACGCGAGCGCGCCAGCACGGCCACCCGCCCCAAGCTGCAAAACAGGCGGTGAAGAAGCCAGCGCTGTCAACCATGCGCCCCTCTTTCTGCGCATCAATTCTTGACACTACGCATTAGCAAAGACGACTGTTCTTCGACCTACTCGACCGCGAGAGAGGGCGGCCATTTGGACCGCAGAGTCGTCGGCCCTGGAGGCGTCCTGTCGTGGACATGTCGTCTTCGAATCGGCCTGATTCCATCAATACCTAGGTAGGCTACTGAAGACCCACATGTTCGAGCGCTTTTCCAACCAAGAGCACCCTCACCCTCCTGTTCAGCCTCGCGCGGTGAGAGGTGGTGCTGCAGCCGGGTGTGGTGCAGGGTAATCTAGAGGGGCCGGGTTTCGCGTCCATTACCGATGCTCGATGAGGGACACAACGCACCGTCCCGACCCTCCGAAACTCGACATTGCAGATTGCAGCCCCTCAGGGTCCATTCACCCTTACACAACTCGAGGATGCGGTAAAGGCTCTGGCCAGCTCTTTCCACGCTCCATGTGTGACGTCTAACAGCATATGACTGCCATCCTTCACCGGCATCGGACAGCGGTGTCTGTCGTCTACTGTCAGTAGCATCAGTTACCCCACGATTCAAACCGACATTCCCTCTCTAGTGACACGTTTCAGACTATCGAGACAGGCATGGCTTGCGCATCGAGAATGTACGCCTCGCCATCTCGTAGCAGACAGGCTACGTAATTGCTGTCAGCTCACAAACAGACCACCCGTCGTACAGCCGCCGTACGCGGGGTCAACGGCTAGACTACGGCGTCCGCAAAAAGCAAATGTAATTAGACCGTAGATGGAGTATGTACTACGTCTTGAACAATACGCTGTGCAAAGCGTAGGGGAACCGACGTTGACGTTGACGTTTCGAATGGCTCTCCGCCCACTCCGGAGTCCGACAGGATACCTAGATATACCAACTTGACAGCCTCACACATAATATACACACTTTCATACAACGAGCTGAATCATACAGACCACTACTACACCTACTCTCAAATCACCAGATCCGACAACCGTCAAGATGCCTAAGATCGTCCGCCTCACCATGTTCAAGATCCCCGACCAGGACATGGTCAAAGAAGCCATCCAAATGTACAACACTCTCGCCCAAGACGCGAAAAAGGTACGTCGAAGCCCCTTCTTGACTCGCCAACATCCCCTCCAAGCCCTCCCATTCCCCTTCCAGATCTCCATACATACCCGCTTTCTCAGCCGAGTTACGGCCAGCACATATCCATCGAACGTGCAGTCCATACCGCCCGCCCCTGCACGACGGACCATCTCGTCACGTCGGGACCCCAGATTTATTCTAGTCGCCCTCGGGCTATTTCCATCTTGCTCCCTCGATAAGAAAAGAGCGGATAATGGCGTCAACCCTCCTCTTCGCGCGCGCGGAGCAATGTCCCTGGCGGGTAATCGCTGGAAATATTGCCGCGGCTAGGAGAAATGGGGTGGGGGTGACGAGGCTGCAGCAAGCGGGCGACACCAGCGCGCGGAATCAACTCCGAGTCACGACGCACATATCGGCCGCCTTGGATCCATTGAAGCCTCACGATGGACAGACTGACGCTAGAGATATACCGACAGCCTCCGCACCGACTGACTTCCGAGGCTATCGTCGTCCGCCGTTTGTTGTTTGTTGCTGCTTATCGAGAGGATGCATGCTAACGTCATTGTGTTTTTGTGCAGGACGGCAAGACGTACATCCAGCTTGCACAAGCCAATGCCACCTATGACGACCCGCGTAGCCAGGGCTACACGATGCTGGCGCGTTGCATATTCGAGTCTAAGGAGGATATGGACTACTACGACAACCAGGATGAGGCACATGCTAAGATCAAGGCGCACTTTAAGCCGAAGGTCAACTCGCCGCCGCTCGTCCTCTACTCGGATATGGCATAGAGGGGCTGGGATGTGGGGTGTTGAGGACTGTAGTGGAATACATGGAATCGAAAGAGTAACACATGGCAAACTTTGTTTTCTGTTGTGATGATGCCAGAAATGACGAAAGATAGCGCATTTGCCTACGCAACTATCCACGACAACATCAGCCGAGTAGGGAAAATAACAGTCTTACTCGGCCAGTTACACGTATTGACAAAGGAAAGAACGTCATAACTGGGATTGATGGCATCAGATCTAGCTGCAGTCTCATTACTCGGCCCTTCTTTGTCTGGTCCAACATCTTTGTCTAAGACAACTCTGATGGTTTACGTGCAAACTGAACAGTACAAGCTTGAGCTCTTCTACCGTCTCGCCCGAAACTTCGGGTTAAGATAACTGCCTGACTTCTGGGCAAAGTGAATGGTCTAAAATCTTGATTTCAGATGGTCTTTGATGAAGATCATCTACTGCCACCAACAAGACATGTCAACCATGGGTGAAACATCTGCTGAAGCTGCTCACCAAGCCTAGAAACAAAGCCATGACCACAAAGAATACTTCGTGCCGACTTACAATGACCAAAGCCGGTATACAATGTCACAATCAAATTGATTCCGCTTCTTTGACCAGAAGAAAGAGACAACATCTTTACTGTCCAACAAAAGATACCTGTGTATCGTGGTCATCTCCGGTTACTCATAAGAGTGACATTGGACTCAACCCCATCCCTATTTACCTAGGTAGCAAATCGAACGACCTCATGGGCATGCAATAGTCTTCGACATAAACTCAAACACTAAATTCACCAGCACGACAACATCAACAAAACCAGAAAATCTTTCCAATTCTACCTTACCTCCTAAACAGGTGCCCACTGAAATCTCAGCACAGCAACCATGTCACAAAAAAAGCGTCAAGCCCCATCCTTACCGGGCCTACCAACGTATGACTCCTCCGCCTCCTCTTCCAGTAGCTCAGAGCCAGAACCAGAAGACTACAAACCAAAGGTCAAACAAGAAGCGGAGTCAACCCAAAAGGTAGCTGCAACCCAAGAAGTAGAGCCAGTCCAAAAGGCAGAGCCAACCCAAGAAGCAGTCGCAGCGCCAGGAGTCATTGGATACAACTACCCACCGGGCTCACCCACAGAGTCCGACACCGACGAACCCGAACCCGAACTTGATCCACTCTCAGATGAAATAAATTGGGATAGCGACGAAGAAATACGCGGAAACGATGGAAACGAGGGAGAAAACGAAGGAGAACCGCAGACCAGCGGCGTCGTTGCCCCGGACACCATCGTCATCGTCGAAGAGCCCGTAGAACGCATATTCAGGACGCCATCCTCGACGGGCACCGTATATTCGTTTAGATCAGAACGGGCTGGAACAGACGCAGTCGTAGTAGTAGACTCAGCAGCTTCCTCGCCGCTCGGCCCAAAAAGTCCCACTCCCCCTCCTCCGTCTCCAGGTCCACCTGCGAACAAGCCGAAGGTGAAGGGCATGCCAGCGGGCATCACTCCGAGAGCAGGACACCAACATGCAACAACGGATATGGAGGAGGATGCCCCAGATGCTGCTGTAGCCCGCGCGGTAGCCGCAGCGAAGAAACGGAAACGCGAGGAGGAAGCTACGACTAAGCGCAAAGCGCCGCCGCGGAAGAAGACACGGTTTGCGTTACCAGAGGATGACGCCGACGACGACAATTCGTCTGATGCTCCGTCTGAACCAGCAGTAGTCGAGACGGGGAAGAAGCCGAGGAAGAAGAAGAACAACAACAACGACGGGAAAAAAGAAGGCACAAAGCCGAAACCGAGCAAAGCACCTGCCAAAAAACCGACAAACAACAATCCGAAAGGCGGTAAGGCGAAGAAGAGTGAGGGTATGGAGAAAGTGAAGTGTAGTGGAAGAACGACGAAAGGCGAGCCGTGTAAGAACGAGAAGAACGTGAAGGAGGGAGATGATTATAATTGTGGGAAGCATAAGTCTAAGGAGTGAGGGAAGGTAGGTAATCGTAAGGATAATCAACGTGTAATTGTACGCAATTTCCAGGTAGAAAGCTTTGTTTTCAGGTTTTGGTATTCGTACCTGCAGTACAGTACATGCACACATGATCTCCATTTCCATCTCCATCCCCGTCTTCATCCCCATTCTTCCCCGTTTCCTCTTGAGAAAAGGCAGCACGTCGAAGCACAACCTTGCTTATATCCCATCGCTAAACCCAACCCAACCCAAAGCATCCATCCATCCGTACCAAACCAGACGCTTTTTCATATCGTGAACGCACTCCCCATGCTGAAGAGGGGAGATGTAGAGTGCTTGTAGAGACGCCTCCGTAGAAAATGCACAACTACTACCACGCAGTTCTATATGCCAGCCGGAGTGTATGCAGAAATATACAAGAAAGATACACGTTATTAAAAAAAAAAGTGTGTAGAAGATTTGCGTCGACGTGTCGTTCGACCGGGTATCTCGTGGGTGCGTTTACATGATAATCGAAGGAGCTAGAGTGTGTTAGTCACTGAAATTCACGTCGTGATGTGAAGGCAAACTTACTGTCAACGTTCTGCTTGATAGACTTGTGCGGCAGAACCGAACCACCATTAACGTAAACCTCATCACCAATCGTAACATCATCACCAAGCACAGTCACGTTCTCGAGACGCGCCCACTTGCCCACGGTGCTGTTCCAGCCGACAATCGACGACTTGACCCAAGCGTGGTCCTTGACGCGGCTGTTCTTGAGCAGCACACAGCGCTGGAGACGCACACCGTCGCCAATGACAACATTGGGGCCAATGGTGACGTTGGGACCGATGCGGCAGTTCTTTCCTATCTTGGCCGACTCGTCGATGAGCACGTTGCCGCCGTAGACGTAGGGTTCCGAAGCGGGGGTCAGCAGCTTGGAGTTCTTGCGCGCTAGCGAAGAGAGGTAGAGGCATGTTCCCGAGAGGAAGTCCTTGGGCTGACCGACGTCCATCCAGAAGCCCTCGAGGTCGAAGGAGTGGAGCAGGCCGTCCTTGACAATCGCAGGGAAAGTCTCTTGCTCAATGGATGTAGGGCGGAGCTCGATGCGCTTGAGCACGCTGGTGTTCATGATGTAGATGCCGGCGTTGATGCGGTTGCCGACGAACTCGACGGGCTTCTCAACGAATCGGTCGATCTTGGAAGCGTGGCCGGGCTTGTGGACTACGACACCGTATTTGGAGGGCTCTTCGACCTTTGTGACGACAATGGTGCCTTCGTCGCCATGTTGCTTGTGGAACTCGGCGAGCTGCTTGAAGGGGTAGTCGCAGGTGACGTCGGCGTTGAGGACGAAGAAGGGCGAGTCGTCCTTGCCCAGGACGTTCTCGGCGAGCTTGAGGGGGCCGGCGGTGCCGAGGGGCTCGGTCTCGACGGAGAATGTGATGGTCACGTTGTATTGCTTCTCGTACTGCGCAGCCGGTTATTCGTGTGCTCTGAATTGCGGAGGGGCGGGTATACTCACTGTCTTGAGCGCCTCGGCCATGATCTCGGGGCGGTAGTTGACGGCGAGGACAACATCTGTGACACCGGCAGCGGCGAGGGCCTCGATCTGATGCTGGATCATGGGCTTGTTTGCGAACTCGACGAGCGGCTTGGGGTAGGTGAGGGTCTGCAATTGGCGTTAGCATGGCCGTTGCTTTTGGCATCGCGGGGCTCTCGAGCGAGGGCTGCGCGGGGAGGAGGGCTTACGAGAGGCCTCAGACGGGTACCGAACCCTCCGACGAGAATGATGGCTGCATTGGCTGTTAGCTACGTATAGCAGAGTCGCAATTGGCCAGACGTACCTTTCATATTGGCGGTGTTGTAGTTGTGTAGAGGCGCAGGTACTAGGAACTTGTCGCAGGGAGGAACGGAAGAAAACAGTCAAGTCTTCAACACAGCACAAGCACACAGTAATTGCCGGGTATAGAAGAAGAAGAGAGTCGCACGGTCGAGTGAAAGCGCAGGGCAAAGAGCAAGGGAGCGGTTTGGTGATGAGGCCAGCTGTAGGTTATATGCGTCGAAGCACCCGCGTCCACAATTAGCGGAGCTAATGCTTTCCCTGGAAATGTTCTAGCTCACACCGGCGCCGGTTCCCCTTTCTTTCACCCACCACATGCGCAACCCCCGAGTCCCGCTACGCCTCGTTAAACCAACTCCCTAACCGCTATCGTGATCGTGGCCTGGCCAGATGGGCCCTGTTCCTGATCGCTCGCCCTATCCGCTTCTAATTCGGGGCGTAGCTTCGTGTTGTGACTGCTAATAGGCTGAGTTCGTATTCCATCACGAGGGAACAATCAGCTCGTCTCATTTCTGCGAATTGGGTACGTGACGCTGGTCACCGCTCTGTTCTCCCTTTTCCAGAGCGAAATGCACCACGTGCCCGTGAAGCTGCGGATTGGGCGGCGTGGTCATCTCAGAATCTTCTGATCACGCCTCGGTCCCCACGTCGGGACCCTGAAAGCTATCCGCGCCCCTGGTACCGCCGACATGTGGCTAGCTGTGGCTGACCGAGAACACTACCAAGCCTTTGACAAACGCCAATGTATCTGTCACGTCGCGAATGGTGCACCTGATCAATCATCAATGCACGACGTTTTGGATTTGCAGATCCATGGTACCTCCACTCGGCCCCTCACAGCCACACTCACGATGTTCGCTCCCGCTTCAATCAGCGTTTATGCGACGCGCGTCGTATGTTGGTGGCGAGATTGCCACGATCATGCGTCCAATGCGCTTACGCAGTTCTGAATGAGGGGGATAAAATAGAACGGCGCTTCCTCCGTCTGCTCAGCTTTACTCACTGGCGTGATGTATCCAGATCCCGCAGTTGTTATACTTTCTACGATGTTCGCCAGCGGACTCCCGCCGGCCATGGCAAACCACGGACATGACACACCGGTACCAGACTGTCTTCTCCGCATCATCCAAAAGCTGGTTCCGAGGGATGCCATTGAGAATGTCTTGAATGTTCCACGACAACAATTTCATACCAGGCTTATATTACAAAACCCTCGCCTAAACGCCCAAAACACGTACTATACACAGATTCACAAAGCATCTAACCTATACCAGACCCCAGTCTGAATCAAAGGCGCATTCTCGTCTTCACACATCATCTCAACTCCTCTTCCGAAAGCTCATCGACCTCAACGCATCCCCCACACTACTCCCCCGCTTAAACATGCCCGGTCTCCTCCCGGGCCCATCCGTAGGACTCTGCTCAGGCGACAAACGCTGCCCTTGATTCCGCGGGCTCCCCGTCTTCGTCGGCGTCTTAACCAGCCCCTCGCCAAACACAAACTCCTTTGCGAAAATCCAATTCCCACGTTCATACCTCCACAGATCCAAACCCACGGCGCGACCCTCCTGGTTCCTCTCGCTCAACTCTTGGCGTATCGTCGCAAACGCGCTGTCTACTTTTGTCTCTTCGTCGACTTTGTTCATGACGGTCCAATGGGGCCGGAAGCCGCCTGCGTCTTGCTCGCTGAGGAACTCAGACCATTGGGTTTGTAGATCAGCGTGGACGTTCTTCATCTTTGTGTAGCCTGAGTCGACGTTGATGCCTACGCCTTTGCGCATCCGGAAGGGCTTCCCGGTGGAGACGTCAAAGGGCTGGATGCTTCCAGATACCTGTGCGAGCCCTTGTTCTAGCGCTTCCATGTGCGAATGTGGGAGTGCGTGGAAGAGGGTTAGATGCGCGCCTGTGCGGTTGAGGTGTTTGGGGAAGTACTGGTTTCGCATGTCGTCCATGGGTTTGGCTAGGGAATCTGTGAGTTTGAGCGTGAGGACGTAGACTTGTTCGTCTTGACTCGCGGTGTTCGGTCTATGCTCTTGTCGGGGATAGTGTCCTGAAGGTCGGCTTTCTTCCACGACGTATGGCTCATTGTTGGCCTGCTTGGGACTGGTCTTGCCTTCCTTTTTGGTTGACCAGCCGCGGAAACTAGTTTTGGCCCTGATTCCTGCGCCGGGGCGTTGTGGTTTCTTGGTCTGCTCTTTTTGCTGTGCTTGCGTTGCTTCAAAGGATGCGCGTAGATCTGGGTCTGAACAGGCTCGGGCTTGGATTTGAGGCTGCCGAACCCCGCCGTTGGGTGTGCTGACGGCGGCTGCGTAGGTAACTGCCATTGTGCTAAATCGTGGTGATGTTGCTGATGTGATTCCGTTAGACAGTGATGATGACAAAGATTGACCCAGCTGCCTGAGGACAGCAGTTCTCATCGAAAACGCGAATGTGGCTGGTGATGTGAGCACTTCCATGAGCTGCCCCTTGAAATGTTGTACGGAACTTCGGAAGATCACATACGTCACTCGACGGCCACTAGCGATGCGCCCGCGCTATGTGGAGATGCCTCAAGCTATCGCGTTTAGGTTTATAGGACGGGAGTACCCCAAACCTCGTGATTTGAGGTGGAGATGCATTGAGTCGTAAGCTTCGAAGTATTGTACCGCAGTATAATTAAGTATATGTAGCAGGCCAGAGCGTTCAACCGCCGCAATGTATGCTTGCTCGTATTTTAAGACCCACAGTTCTCGCTTCTACAGCGACCAGCTGCCTCCAGTCTATTTGGAACTGTCCACGGGTATCAAAAACTCCAGAACTCCAAGGCCTAAAACATGGTATCTGAGCAATATAGGTCCCTAGATGAGCGTCTGCTGGTGGTGCGCCATCTTCCAATCGCCTGACACGCCCTCTGAAGCACCCTTCAGCACCCATGCGCTCGAGCAGATGGCCCTGAACGTCTCGCTGTCCCTTGTCGCCTCTACGCGGTAGTAGATCAGCGCGCTGTCCTTGCCCAGTATAACGACTTCATCGTGGCTGAGTTTGTATGACTTCCAGGGCTCGAAGTCGGGGCCTTGAAGCATGTTGTGGACTGTTGGAGATGATACGGAGGTCAGGATGAGGTCGCTCGGGAAGATCATGACGGGATTGCTGGAGAGAAGCGGGACGAGTTCGGCGCCGGAACTGCATAGCGCTGCCCAGGCTTTGTGTTCGA